TTATCTGGAGGGCCTGGCAAATGGCATCGTCCTCTATCTCCCCGCTTCCCACCCTTGAAGGAGGCGTGTCTGTCTGGCGTCTGGGCCATGAACCAAAGCCTCCCGCGCGGCCTTTTCACAGCCATCTATCCCCCGCCGCCTTGGTTAATTGGTTGGGTTTTGACATCCCTGACAACTGTGCTGGTCACGGACAGTTTCACTGTTTGGTCTAACGAGGGCAGGTTGAGCACCCTCCCATGCGTCACCGCTGTCACGCTCCACCGTGGCCGGCCCAGCAGCGGCTGGCTGAGTTGTGAGCTCTGTGATCACCATGCCTGGCACGGAGCTCATCTGGATGGCTGCCCTGCTCAGCCGCGGCCCTCTCTGGGCCTGCTCCCTATCACGAACGCTTTTATTTATTCTGGGTTTCCCCGGTGCCAGCACCTCATCACTCACACACAGAGCCGCCAGCCGGCACTCGCTTTGGCGAATTCGCTTCACTGCAACATTTATAACCATTGGCGTCAACGGGCCAGCATTTATCCTCTGCTCGTTATTCCTGACCCACTTTGTCTCATCAATGAGGCTTTCTTGTGGATAGTGAAAGCTCTGGAAGGATGCAGATAATCCTGCAGGAAGGGGGACCCGGCAAGGGCAGCCCAAGGAGCTGGTCCCTTGGTCCATTTTTGTCATTCAAACAGCACCACGCTTTCCCACCTGCTGCGAGCTGCTGGTGAAGCTCTGAGCCCCACTCCCATTCGTCAGAGCGTTCTCAGCTCTTCACTGAGGGGCTTGGTCCTGTGCCTTGGTTTCCCCATCTCTAAAATGAGGGTATTTTCTCCTACTTGCAATGGTTGATGCAAAGGTTTAAATGAATTAATTAGTATTTGTAGATTTGGTGAGGAGCTTCTCAAAGAGAGAGACAGGCATATACAAACAGCAGGGAAATTTTTGAATCTGTGTGTCTGTCCACACTTCCCAGTTGAGAACTTTTGAATTAGCTTCATGGAGGCCCAGGGCCCTCCTGGACGTGGCCTGGCTCCATGGCTGAGGTCAGCAAATGGTGGCCCATGGGCCAGATCCAGCCCACCTCTTGATTCCGCATGCCCTGTGAGCTAAAAATGGATTTTGCATTTTGAAATGACTGGGATGGGGTATAAAACGCCTAGTATTTCATGACATGTAAAAAGGATGTGAAATTTAAATTTCAGTGTCCATATTCCGTTTGATTGAAAGACAGCCTTTCTTTGCGTGTTTGCCCTTGGCTGATTGTCTGAGCTGCTATAACAGGAATAGCACGTGAGACGTCAAGTAGCCACAGCAGAAACCACATGGCTGCTAAAACCAAAAACGTCTGCTGTCTGCCAACCTCGGGTCTAGAGCGGTGATTTTGTTGTCTGACACTAGCCATTTAAATCTCGTCCCTAAGGCCTTGAGAGAATTAGGTGAGCTCCCAACAGTAACTTGGACATTTGCATCCTGGAATAGTTTCCTGATGTGGCGAAGATGAAATCAGATAATGCTTGGCAAGTTCCCGGCCCAAAGGCGATGCTCATCAATGCAAGTCCCCTCTCTCCTTTCCTTTGTCTCTCCTGGAAAATGACCCTCCACCGCACTCAGAGTTTATTCTTCCTGCCGTTCTGACCTGAGCGAGACCTGGGTGACTAAAGCAAGCAGCAGCCTGTCTGAGGGGGGACTCTCGGTTTCCCCCGCAGGAGCCACAACACGGTGCTGTCGATTCAGCCTGGGGGGGTGGGCATCGTTGCAGAGAAGGAGGGCGTTGGAGGTTGGCACTGCCAGGCAGGCACCCGCTCCTCCAACTTGATCCGTTGTGTGTGACAAGAGCACAGGGGAGAACAGGTGACAGTCAACGACGGCTCACAGTTATTAAGTGCTGACTAGCTGCCTGGCACTGTTCTTGGGTTACACGAGCTCTGACTCATTTAGTCCTCCTGCACCCCAACAAGCGGGACACTGTTATAAACCACGCCATGCAGATGGGGAGACTTGAGCACAGAAGGGTTCGCTACGTGCCCGAGGCAGTTGGACCTGAGCCTGGGCAGCGGGGAGCCGTGGAGGGGTTTTAAGAGATGGTGCTGTGAACAGGGGTGTTTTTTATAAAACGGTCCCTGGGCACACATTAGGCCGTGGAGCAGGGACACTATTTCCCAAATGTCAGCCACCCACGGGACACTATCTTGTCCCTGTGTGGTTAGAACTTCAGTGGGATCGTCTGAAAATAGAGATGACTCCAACCCATGCAGGTGATGGCACCGCACTCATGAGGAAATGGGACAGCTTGCCTCGTATTTGCAAGCCCTACAGACATCATTGTAATGGGCCAGAAACCTCGTGGCCCAGCCTCACCTCCTGGGCTTAAAACTCGGTGCTTTCCTAGCCAGGTGACCTCGGGCAGGTCGTTTCACCTCTCCGAGCCTTAGTTTCCTGTCTGTCAGACTAGGGTAATAATGGTGCCACATGACGGGGTGGTCAGGGGAGTTCAAGGAGGTGATAACATCCGTGAGGTGCTTGAAGCAGTTCCGGCACCTTGGCGAGTGCTCCGTCGGCAGGGTTAGGTAGCAGGAGCTGCTCTTCCCAGGCCCCTGTCTGGAGGCCATTCCCAGGACGTGGCAGGAAAGAAAGCCAGCTGTGTGGACGACAGGCTCAGCGCTGACATGCTTTGGTCTGCAAAGCCAGGACCGTCTTGGCTTGTTGCTAATAAGTTAGAGCGAATAACTACGTTTGAGATCTCTGTATTTCCAGCAAAACGGTTGAGGAGTGGTTGCATCCCACATCACACATACACAGACACACACGCACACACGTGCACATGCGCACACACATGCACGCACACACACACACATGCACACACGCGCGCACGCACATGCGCGCGCGCACACACACAGACAGGCCTCGAAGGCCAGGACAGCTGCGCTGGGGACCCTCGTGGCCAGCGACTCGCTTTCTTCCCACAGGATCGAGTGAACCTCCTGGAGCAGGTGACCTGGGAGCATGAGCATTTCCAGACGAACGTGGAAGAGTTCCAGCTGTGGCTGGAGGCGGTGTCGGAGAAGGTGAACACCTGCGTGGGGCGGAACTGCAAGCTGTCCCCCAGCCGCCGGCTCTCCGTGCTGCAGGTACCCATGGCTGTGTCTCCCCCGAGTGGCCACTGAGGCGGGGCTCGCACGTGGCAGGTTTGGAGTTAGAGCTTATTTAGTAGGGAGGTGCTGGGGGCCGCAGGAGATACCGACCACCATGCCCACAGACCCCACGGGAGGAGAAGCGTGGAATCTGGTGAAAAATGTTTGGGGCTTGACTGCCTTTTGCGGATGGCTGAGCCAGCAGGGTGTTCAGAAATCCCAGGCCATAGCAACGAGGTCTACACTCGTGGCTCTCAAATGGGGGACACTTGGCCATGTCTGGAGGAGACATTTCTGGTTGTCACACTGGGGTAGGGGATGCTCCTGGCATCGAGTGGGTGGGGACCAGAGATGCTGCTAAGCACCCTCTGAAGCACATGACAGCTCTCACAGCAGAGAGCTGGCCAGCCTCACATGTCGGCACAGCCCAGGCTGTGTAGGCATCAGGTATGCAGTGGGGAGGAGCTGGGTCCACTCTCACCTTCCTGACTTGGCTGTGACCTTGAACGAGCTTCTTCTGACTCCCTCTGTAAAGTGAGCAGATAGATTATCTGCAATAATTCAAGAACCACTGTATACTTTTTGCTACAGCTGTATAGCACCCGTACCATTTAATATTTGTATTTAAATGGACTCACTTTCTAACAAAATGAACAATGACCAAACAATATCTTATGTGACTTATATAAGGATGTTTGCAGCAACCTTATTCATAATAGCCCCATACTAAAAACAACTCAGATTTTTATCAGCAGAACGTTGGATAAACAATCCAATAGAGGTCTATTTATTGGATAAATAAAATAGAATATATATATATACAATAAAATACTACGATAAAAAAGAATGAAGTACCGATAATATATGATAGCGTAGAAGAATCTAAAAAACATACTGAGCGAAAGAATTCTAATTTCAAAAGATATCGTATTCTATAATTCCGAATAAATCCTAGAATCTTCTGGGACATTAGAAATGCTCTGTATTTTCATAACGGTGTGAACTACTTGGGCATGACTATTTCTCAAAACTGTCTGAACAGTAACATTGAAGATTTGTATATTTTACTGCATATAAATTATACTTCAATTAAAAAGTAAAAAAATTATTTTTAAAATTTATTTATTTAAATTAGTTTCAAGTATACAGTTCATTGCTTAGACATCTATATGGTTAATAAAACAATCCCCCCATTTGCTCCCTCCCTCCCCTGACCCTCCACGTAGCCATCGTATTAATGCTAACTGCATTCCCTATGCCGTGCTCGCCATTCTCGTGACCACCCATCAGCTACTAATTTATACTTCTTTAACCCTTCACCCCATTCTCCCAGCCCCGCAACCCCCCTACCCTCTGTCCATCACCAAATTGTCCACTATATCTGTGAGTCTGTTTTTGATTAGTTTGTTCTTTTTGTTCCTTAGATTCCACATATAAGTGAAATCATATGATA